CTGTGGGTTTCGTGCTATTGGCATGTTGGTAAGCACTCAGGCTGCTTCCCAGCAGTGCGCTGTGGGGCTGGCCAGTATGGGGGCAGGGCTTCAGTTCTTTTTGATCTTGGACTACAACTTGTGGGTGAGAACCTAAATTTAGAATAGGACAGCAAATTTTGCTTAATTTTAACCAGAATTTCTTCCTTTTTTTCTAAGTTGGTAAATTGTGAACAAACCTAGTCTCTGATCACTGCTTGATAGAGCAATGAGTTCTGTCAGTTTTTGTCTCCTGGCCTGGTTATACTTCTTACACACTTGGTTTCTTAAAGAATTGATTAAGTAAATCCCAAACCCAAAATATTTAGTTGGTGTGTGTATGTGTGTGTGTGTGTGTGTGTGTGTATAGTTTGTTTGTTTTTAGTTTTCGCTATAGGACTCACCTGCTCACTGGAGAGAGCCAGGAAGAAGTGGGGGAAGGGGAGAATCACCCCTCAGAGGGTATGGCCACACCTCAGTCCCTTCTTTATTCTCTTGGGATTTGGGCACGCATGCACACCTGGTGTGTTTGTCAAGTCTCTGGGTCCAGCATTTGAACTGCATAGCTGGCCATGTGGGATCCAGTTCTTTTAACCACCATACCACAGGCTAGCCTGGTGGTTTGTTTTCACCAACCAAGTATTTTGTGTTTGTCATTCGTTCTCTTCACTATTATGTAATGTTTTCGGTGGCCAAATATGAAAACTTATGTCAGTAACTCAGAACATGAATGGACTGTTAAGTTTCTATCTATATACTCACTTCAGATTTTGGAGACAGAAAAAGCATGGTTTATTTGAAGTTCTTTGCATGATATATTTGGTACAGCTCCATATTCAGAAATGCAGCTGGATTATATTTATGACCAAGATGAAGAGGGAACATTGAATAGACCATGGACTCAAGAGAGATTCAACTCGTATTTGAAAGATCTTCCTTCTTACACATGATGACTTGCATGACAAGAAAGCAGCACATTTCATGACAACCTTATTCCTGATTTTGTTATCTTGAGTGTCTAAGAGATTTCTTGAATTTAAAAGCTCAACATCTCTCCAGTCAGTGACCTAGACTCAGAATTCAACAGCCAGCTCCAGTATGGCTTCTCAAGAAGCTATTTAATTTGTTTATTCTTAAAGAAATATTGCTCTTGTTTTCAGGAAAAAGAAAGAAAAGGAAGTCCGGAAGACAGCTTCTAGCTACCATATCTAGTTGTATAAGTAATGCTCGAAAGCAAGCACGAAAACTAACAACAAAGCAGAAGAATGGTAGAAATCCAGTGTGATATTTACAGCTCCCTTATACAGTCTGTCCTAGTCATAGCAACACTATTTGTCTTATCTTGTCTCATGTTATTTTGTCAGCCACCGAAAGTTTAACAGTAGGATTAGGAATTTCAATGAATAATCTTAGACTTCTGTATCAATCTGTCATCATGAGCAAGGAACTTGACTTTTGCAAGACTTAGATACATGCAAATAATCTAGAAATGAAGGAAAATATCTTATTGTAAAAACAGTAATTTTATATGAGCTTGAACAGCACCTAAAATTTGTAGTAAACCACTGAAAGAAGGAAAATGCCTTAAAAAAATACTCCATAGTTTAATTATTATTGTATGTGAGGATGAAAGCCATAAGGAATGTTATTAAAAATATATGGAAATTGGGACCAGCAGATGGAGTAATGGTTATGTCACTGGACTTCCATTTAGTCAAACACCATTCAAGCCCCAGACCTGGTGGTTTGAAACTCATGCCAGGCATGTGTGTTTACCTGCCCAAGATTCCAAGAAAAGACTGGAGGAGAAGGGATTGCTATATGGCCATCCCTTTTGGGGGATGATTTCTCACTTTCTGTCTCTCTGTCTCTCCAGTGAGTACATGCACCCTCTAGCAAAAATCTCTCTGAAAAAAAATGTATGGAAGTCTTGAGAAACTTAATATTATACAATAGTGATAGATGTGGGAGTGTTGATGTTTGCTTTCTGTTTTTATTTCAGGGTTTGAACATAATCTTTCATGTAGCCTTGGCTCTCCTAAAGGTAAGTCTTTTTTAACTTAAGTGACCAGAATATCTTAACTTCTTTGCCTTTGGGGCTAGAATAATTCAATTTATAGCTTTTCCCTTATTCTGGTTTCTCCTTGAAAAAAGATTTCTGTAATAAATTCTGATCCTCTGTTTTCCTCATTCTTTTTTGTTGTTTGTTTGGAGTGGATTTGCTTGTTTTCCTGTCATCCATTTAATCTTGCTACCTGTAGTGCTTTTCCCAGTAACACAAAAAGTGCTCCTACTCATATGAGTTGGATAAGAGAAAAAGTTAAAATCTGTTTTCTGTCAAAATGATACCACCTTTTTTCTTTCAAATTTATTACCATAATAACATCCCTGAAGACATCTAAACGTATAATTGAATTATTAAAGAGATTATAGGGACCAGCAGATGGGATATTTACGTTTCTGGACTCCCACTTAATTGCACATGGTTTGCGTCCTGGACCTAGAGGTGTAAAAATTCATGCTGAGTGTGTGTACATGTGTGCCCAAA